AGAAATCATAGCCCATGAAGAGAGTTGTATATTACATACAGATTTCTTGTTCATTTGCAATAAACTTTAACTCTGATTTTCTCAGTCAGATTGATTTTTTTTTCAAAAGTTTCTTTAAAACCTGAGCTAGTTTACCTCAACGTTTCATAAGTAATATACAATATTCGCGGACGATCTGTATGAAGTTTAAAACAGCTCGCTTTCAGCTCGCTGTTTTAAATCCTCATACAGATCGCCCGCTCATATTGTATATATTACATAATACTCAGTTTTGAGAGTGTTAAACTAATTGGAATAATAGCTAGTGTATAAAATTTTCTCTCTTTTACATGGTGATTTATTTATCAATTGAAGCATCAGAGGCAGCCTTCAAGCAACAGGGAGAAGTGGGGGAAGCCTAATAGACTAATAATCAATACCAGAGCCAACACTGTTGCGAACCATTGCCATTTTCCCCAGGACTTTGATGCCTTTTGGCTTCAACTTTGCCAGGACCTAAAACACAATAGGATATGCACATATCAATCTTGAATGTACTATAAATAATACAAATTCTTTTAACAACACTCTACATAATGACACAAAAATGGCTTTATAATAGATAGAAAAATATAATTGGTTTGAGTACTGACCAAACCATTCCCCACCCCGAACATCAGTTACCTGGAAAAATCCTGCTACTGCTGCTGCTCCACATTTATCTCTGAAGAATGCAATGAAATATTTTGTTGCAGTTTATAGTTCATTTAAGAATGACCACATTTCAAGATCCTCATGTTTTTTTTGGGTAAATTTATACTCTTTTTTCGTATAGATCAATATTGTTACCTGTGCATTCCTGCCATAACACCACCTGCCTTGATATCTGCACCTCCTGTGTCATAAGTAATACCCTGGAAAATATACCATAATTGATAAAGATTTCCAAACCAAAGTAAACCATGAAAAATGCCATAAAGTGTAGTATATACTACCATGTGGAYGTCRAAAGCAATAGGAGTTGGGACTGTAGAAAACTGAAAACAAACCTTTCCAACAAGAAGCAATGTCTGGTCAATCTTCCCTTCGCCTACATATTCCAACTGGATAAGCCTTCCCTGGTGTCGCTTGACTCCTATTATATGTATCGATTATCATCAATAATAAAGGTTGGCAAATAAATCATTACCATTTGTTATTATTATTTATTTATTTTATACCTTTAGCTGCACGATTGACAGCTGCCATGAGAGGGTAATCTCCCTCAAGGGAATCATCAACCTTTTGTACTGACACCTAAGAGATATAAATGCTGAAAAGTTAAATAATGAATGACTGAAAAAACAAATAAAATAAATGAAAAAAWGAAGAAATATATTATATTTATGAATAGCCACTTGCAAGTGAATGATACCTTCACTTCTGTTCCATGGAATACTTGTTTAACATAATGAGCAACATTTGGGGCTGCCATTCTTTCAGGGTCRGAGCCTCCAATGTCACGACACACCARCCTACACAATAATATAACAGATTACTTGYAGCTCACAATCTTTTATTTTATTGATTTAATCTGAGGCAGCGGAAATGACAAGTTTCTCAGGATTGATCATTCCAATTAGCTTGCATTGTCTAGAGCAGAGTTAGTCAAGAACAGTTYAGAACAGAATAAGAAAAATATCATATCATACCTTCCTGACTCTAGTGCAGAAACATACTCAAGATTTTCCTAAAAATAAAATATCATAATTAGATAAAGCTCAAGGACAATTACTATTTAGAGCAGATTTTGTATAAGTGATAGTACTCAATGACATAGATCATTGGATGCCCATGGAACATCATAGTATGTATAATGAATTGAATATTTTTACCTTGCTYTGCATGAAGATTCCAAGTCTTTCCACCTTTTGCTTCCTGTCTGGAACATCTTCTC